TATTTTAAATTTATATGTCCTTAAAAAGTGCGGTCGCTGCAGAAACACTGGTACAATAAATAGATTTGTTTTCCTATCTTCTATCTAAATTCTTCTATATGTCTACATATATTTATATTAAGCTAGCTCGTACCATCTTTCGACTGCATCGTTACCTCCTTTAGGTGGGATCGTGGTCAAGCGCTAGCTTAACAAATAATAAAAAAAAAAAATATATACTCTATACATATTAAGTAGGAGTGTCTGTAATTTCAAAAGAACAATTCCAGATTTCGGGAAGATGATGTATTTGCGTTGCTGATAACGAAAATCTAATTCTAAAAAAATGTCTGTCTGTCTTTTTGTCCACAAGCCGCGTTTGTTCCGGGTAATCACCGAACGGCTGGGCCGATTTCGACCAGACTTTCACTAAAGGGTAGCTGACATAGACGGGCTACCATTTTTAATTCTGCGCTGTCAAAATGGCTTAACGGGTAGTCCAAATTTGGGTTAACGAAGTTTGCGGGCGACAGCTCAATTTATAAATAATAATAAAAGGGGATGATGTACATATTCGTGTTGTGGCAGTGTAAACGCACGTTAGAAATTTTGCGTGATAGACAATAATTTTGACAAGACCGCAGACCATTTGTGTAATGAGACGCATTTCCCCTCCCCCTCGCACCTACCCTGCTACCCGGCGCGCCCTCGTCTGCCGCTCCCTGATCTTACGTAATGTTATTAAAAATAAATTATACTATACTAACAATACACCCCTGTTTCGTTTGTGTAGACAAATACATTTTTATCAGAAACTCTGTAGAATTCTGTTTTATGTCACTTCCACACGCAAAGTGGGCACTAAGGGGCAGTTTAAATAACCATTAAACTATCCCTTGAATATAATGATTAATCTGTATTAGTACTAGTAGTATTATAAATATAAAAGATTTATATTTTTGTATTTATGTGTATTGATATAACTCAATAATAACTGGACCGATTTCTGAATTCTTCCACACTTATTACGTTACAACACTTACAACTACTTATTACACTTACAACGTTATCAGTGACTAAAAAAGGTTTTGTGCTGTTTTTTAAATCCTCATGGACGAAGTCGCGAGCAACAGCTAGATTATAATATAATGACATGACTTTGTTCAGACATTACAAATGCCTTTTAGTTAATTACAAAACGGTTTTGTATTAATATAAATATATTCCGATATTATTCAGGTCACTTAGTATAACTTTTCGCTGCTTTTCGAACACAACTTTAGACAGGGAGCGGCCGCGCTATACTCAGTATGACAGACGCAGTCGGTAAGCGTCGCTAGTGTTGGTTGTAGCTAGCAGTTGTTTGTTCAAACAATCTGATCTTAGTTACAGTGATCTGTGTAATTAAATGGTGGATGTTGGAGTCTTTTTAACGTGTAAGTTCAATTGAATTTATAGATCTTTAAGTATATATTTTTACTATATTTTTAAGACTTATTTAATTATATATTATTATATATCTCATATCTTTATTTTCTTATTTTTATATATAACATATTTCACATGATTTTTATTCAAAGATTGATTCAAAAGGCAGTTATTTTAGAAACCGCACGAATAGTGAGGAGGTTCCTGTCTCTGCAGTCCTGACCATTGGTTGCTTGAGTCATCGGATTCCGCAGCCGGTGGACTTCTATTTTTTTATATAATATGTTTATTATTTAATATTATTTTAACTATTTATTTAATTAAATAAGTCTTAAAAATGTAGTAAAAATATATATTTCAAGATCCCGTATTTTATAAGGGATTTAATGGTTCGTTTAAAAGTTTAAATTTGTTTAGAAGAGTATTTTCTTGATCTTCGTCTATCAATATTAAAACATCATTAATCAACGTCATTTTTTTTTTATTTACAAGATAAATGTATGGATATAAATAGTTCCTGTAGAAATGGTGATGGTCGGACCTTTATTTATAATTGAAAACTCAAATGCAACGCAAATTAAATGGATTCATTTATTTAATGTCGCAATATGTGGCTTTGAAACTCTTTGTGCACTTGAGTGTGCAATTAAAAACAATTCAAGCTTGAAAAAACTTGAACATAACATTGTTCAGTGTAAAATTCGAATTGAAATGACGTGCTTTTGGCAGCGTTTTTAGCCAAGTATAGAGTTTGCCAAAAATACATACCTGATACATTGACATCTACCTATACCTACATATGATAAAATTAGAGTGTCAGTAAAATCAAAAGAAAAATTTCAGATTTCGAGAAGATGATGAATTTGCGTTGCTGATAACGAATATCGAATTTTTTTTGTATGTCTGTCTGTCCGCAAGCCGCGTTTGTTCAGGATAGTCTCCGAGAGGGCTAGGCCGATTGCGACTGGACTTTCACTGAAGGTTAGCTGACAAATACTGTCATATTATAGGTTACTTTTATTATGCTATATGTCAGTTATTAATTTACACATATACATTTAATCCACAATGGAAATCCACTTTAATGTTCTTATAGTGATCTCTGAGTTAAATAAGATCGCGTGACTAAGATAATATCCAATAAATACTAATCTGACTTTAACCGTTAAATAAAATGACAATATAATCTGATAGCAAAATCATTTCTATCTTATGAAGTAAAAATATATCACTTTCACATTCTTAAACTCCAATAGCTCAAAAGTTTACGATCATGGATTCAATTCCGCCATTAAAACACGTTTCGGATTTAATTCCGTTGTAGTTTTTTTATACTATTTTACCTTGACTACCGCATACACAGTGTTAAGGTCAATAAAGCAGTCCCTTAGAATTGTACACTAAATCTACGAAAGGTCTCTTAACGCACGGTCATGGGCGTCACAAGTAATAGGGGAAGGTTTAGACCTTCATATGGTTAAGGGGATCTAGTACTTAAATTCTTTTTTTTTTTAAGAAAATTATAATCAACATATACAATTTTTTAATGATCAACTTGCATATCGTTTTAGTTATCTCTGTACGTCTCTAGGAATTGTAGACAACTTAGTTTTTGATTGAATTTTGACATTTATTCAACTATATTTAAGTCTCCATGTCTCTAGGGGGATAGTTGCCCCCCTGGCGACCCTCAACACGGTCACTAAATAATCATTTTATAACTAAAGTGATTCCTGCCGTAGCATTTCAGTTCGTATGGCTTGCCAAATTTTTAGTACGGAGATACTGCAATATGCGCTGCGCATTGCGCGAAATGCACAAATCGATACAGCTCAGTTAATTTAGACCAGGACGTCTAGAATCTAGGAATGCACTGATATTCCTCTCTAACGGTACAATACTGAAATTCTTAAATTAAACTCCAAGTTGAAGAACTTGTATTTAAAAGGTATAAACGTTGTCTATCAGATTGTAAGCGCTTGTAAGCAAATGGCAATCATTTTGCTTTATTTGCTTACGTAATTACCCTTGCAATTGTAACATTGCATAGAGTTATAAATACGATAGAGTAGTCCGTTAATGTTGAAGACATACTGTTCGTGACTTATTCATTTATGATTTATTATGCAATGTAAGCAATTTTATTGAGTTTTTAAGATTACTCAAAGTAAAAAATATTTTTTTTTAAGTTAATCCTGAAGTATCGCTAAAAACTTTATTGCGCATAAAACTACCTCTAATATATTATATTGCTTCACTTTATCTTCAACAACTTAAAATATCTAAAAGAACTGCGTATTTCTTTACTTTAACGGACGGAAAAAAGTTCTCACCATTTTCCCCCCATATTGAAAGCTCAAGACCATGCAAAGGTGTTATGATTTAGAACAGATAGCCATCTATCTTTGCATTATTGTGCTATTGGAAAATATGTTCCTTTTGTAAACCTTACCTCCAATATTAAAATTGTTTGTTTTAATACTTCGCGTGTCAATTGAATGAACCTCAACAATAATTTGCATGCCACTTGAGTTCATTAACCCCAACACGGAAGTCAAATGGTAATTGTAAACATTGCATGCTTTATTAAATCTATTTATAACCTCTTATTAGCTTTATATGAAAGTTATTTAAAGAGCTTTACTGTAATAGGGTTGTAAAAAATACTGGTTATTTAAGACTACCACTGATAAAAACATCCTCATTTGCAGATGCGTTGTTAATCGTCGGACAGACGGACAGAAATGTGTTATTTCCCTCATTAGTGCGTCCTCACCCCTGCCAAAACCACTTCCCTTTAAAATTCTTCACTTGTACTAAAAGGATGGGAAAAAAATAGGATTAGGTCTCCAACACACATTTCAGAGTGTACAGGGAATTATTTCCTCTTGGCGCGTGATTTCTGTTTAGTCGTGGTATTGCACTGCGGGCTGATTCTTTCTACAAAAGTTATTGGCCACTGTTAAATCTTAAGCATTTTAAAGCCTGCGTTTCCATAGCAACATCTATATTGCTATCTCAGTATTTTCAACGAGAATGATAGGGATGAGAATGTTTGTGTTTAGTGTAGACCCATCTATAAATCTGTTAGCGGACGCGGCTGAGCGTAAAATTGTCTTTGCTTCTATTCAATTTCTATTTCATTATTACTCATGAGAAACGCGTTGTCGCGTAAAATTGATAATCTCTATTTGCGCCTGTTTATGTTTTTTTTTTTGTATAATTGTCTATAATTATTTAGTAACATTGTTTAGTTAATAATTACTTTGCTTGTAATGAACCCAATATAATACAAATAAAGACTGTTGTCTATATAAGTAAATAAAATTTCATATTTCGTGTATATAATGGTTTTGCGCGATTTATAACAAGACAATATTTTTGTCTGTCTTTTTATATTTTTAACTGTATCAAATAAGCTGTCGTCTAAGCTGTATGTCTACGTCAAATTTAGTCGAGATCCGTTCAGTAGTTTAGGCTACAAAGTCCAACAAAGATACATCCATCCATAACAAACATAACACACATTCGCATTTACAATATGAGTAAAATATAATAAGATTGTTTTTATTTTGTTTCTAAACATTTTGTAGCGTTGCACGGGACTACCGGTGATGTTGAAGGCGGGCGAGTACTCCCCCAACAACCCGCTGGCGCGCGGCGAGCGGCCGGG